CCGCCTCTGTTTGCAGCGTGCTACGCGCGCCTCCGGTGGTGATTATTGCGCACACGCAGGCTCAGCGCAGGCCTAAAAACGCACACCATGAACCACTGTGTCCCCCGCCAGCGCGCGGGAGCGACCTCGCCGGTTCTGGGGGGCAGACGTCAGTCCAACTGACGGCGCAAAGGACTAGTTCATATTGGCCCAACTCTAAAAAAAAACTCGGCGCCTCGGTCAGCATGATTTATTCAAAATCTTGAAGAAGGAGACACGATCGCTTTATTAGCCTGACGTTTCGGATTCCTACTCGAATCCATCATCAGAGACAACAGCAGATACGAGTGATTCATGCACAAGGGGCTGCAGTATTTATAGGATACAGTCGCCATGCTACCGCATATGTGAACTTTCACGCCCTTCCTCGTTGGACTTGGCATAATGACTGTTTGATGGCCGACATTCGCGTCCTTAATTGCTGCAATTACATCACGTGCATTGGATGTCTGTGTGATGATTGCTCGACCATCTGACACACTGACCCTGGTGTAGGGACAAGTGTTCATATGTGCGCTCCCCGCTTGGCTAATTACTCCGCCAAGGCGAAGTTTCAGCACCGACTATGGAAGGGGAAGTTCATTGCACTTGTTAATGGACTGGGGGCCAGTAAACCATGATTCAAGTAGCTCCCGGCTCACGCGGTTGTCACCTCTTGACTGCCTAAGCAGGATTTCCTAAGTACTTCACCTAGAATCCACCAGATGACTACTAGGCTCACGTAATTCATAGAGGTTTTGACAGATTTTGAATAATTCATATTGACCCATCAGTGGGTCTCCCAACCTTTCCGGAGTGTTTTCTGGTATATGAACTCCAGTTTCATCTTGACTTGTTTAATTTCTGAGAAAAGTAATGCGCGAACGTTGGCTGTACTAAAGCCTTTCCCCTTACTGTGAGAGTTCGAATCCCATCGAGGCGCCGAGTTTTTCACAGTTGGGTCAATATGAATGAGACCGTAACATGCTAAGAGAAGACATAAAACGTAAACTTTAAAGGCAGTGATCAGGGGATCTGATAGTCGGCGGGGGCAGGATCCTACGACACTTACGCTCAAGGCCAGCAGTCGTGTGTACGTGGGACACACTGCGGGAGAGGGTGAATATACGGGCATCTTGGTTGCTTGCGTCCAAGTCCAGAACGTAACAAAGTAGAAATCCTAGAGTAAATTTGGTTTTTATTTTGGTAAAAACAATAGAGACTACTGTTCAGCCTGTCACTTGAACTGAATACTCCAAAGTACCCGCAGGTCCTAATCCCGATTGCAGGAAAGTGGGATGGTTGGGAGAGGGGGGGAGAGGTGAGTGGTATGAAATCCGCTTCTTTCTTCTCCCACCACACGCCCGGCTTGATCTGGTCGCCTGGACAATAGGCAGAGTCACGACCGAATTGGGAAACGTAGAGCTGGATAAAAAGATGTGGAGATCACGAAATGTGGAGTCGTCCAGGGCTGAATGCCAGACGGGGTTTCGAGCTTGCATAGCGCGCGCAGGCGTACCGAAGTCTTTATTACTTCAGATGAGGAATATCGCGCGGGGTTTTCGCACGACTAAAAGGGGGAGGGAGGGGAGTGAGTGGACGCGTCAGTCCCCCGTCTTAAATAAGTCTGTTCTAGATGCTCGAGATAGCTTCCAGCCGCCCCCTATACAATGTCTTCACTGGCACTGTGTCTATGACCGTTGGTGGAGTTCCGGTTACTGCCGCTGTTTACCTCACTGTGATTTTCGTGATTGTTTTCTGGAGACTCAATTAGGAGGTTCTGCTTGGGCGGAGGAGGAGGAGGAGGAGGAGGAGGAGGAGGGAGGAGGAGGAGGAGGAGGAGGAGGAGGAGGAGGAGGAAGGTACTCGCTTTTGGGGTCTGTATGTCTTCTTTCTTATTCATACTATGTCAGTAATACCGTCCATGCACTGAAATCGGTTTTTTTAGCTTTTACGCATCGCTTGGAATACCAAAAAATTCAACTGTAATTCTCATCATGCCTAGATTTAGAGAGTGCTCCGGTACATCAAGGATATCTCTAAAGCTGTCAGCCGTCTTTTCACACCACTTGCAGGTAAGATTGTGCGCAAGCTACAGGCTACCATTAGAGGTGCATTTATGAGGCCGAACGATCCGCTCCCCGGCAGGAAACATCTGCAGTCGACTACCGCATCTTCTGCGGTTGCGGACAAGGCAACTCCGTCAAAAACACTGAGCGATTATTCCGGACGTGGATGATCGAAAATGAGGCATGGGTGGGGAGGAGTGTTGTCAGTTTTTAGGTCGCGGCTCATCGGATGAAACGAGGCTGCACATTCGAATTCTGCCGTGCCGGAATTCTGACAAAAGGTGACAACTGTGTGAGCCACGGGGCACTGGAGTTATGATTCTCCAGCCAACAGTCCACCAACATATGCAATCTCTCCCCCCCCCCACACCCATACCTATTCAGCACTCCGACTTTATCTGGACAGGGTTCAGTGACTCCGGTAGTGTTCGAGTAAACAGTTTCCAGTGCCATCAATAGTGATGGAACTGCGACAGCTAATGACTCCGATGAATACGAGCTATCAGCTCTATTTGGTATGTGGTGGCGTAGCAAGTGAATTCCCTAAATACTGCAGCGCCTGTGTGTCCACTGCTCTTCTCTGCTGCTGTCGCTGATGGTGTGGTCGAGCGGGAATTCCAAACGTCGGGTCCGTTAACGATCAAGGTCCCCTCGTCTGAATTAAATACATAAGTACGAATTCTGAAGGGGGGTTATCCTATTTGAATCCTGAACGTGTAGTTATCGCCAGCAAGGATATCGTATATAACCCCCTTGGGGAGACCGTAGTTAACTACAAACCTAAAGCCAACGATGGCCATGTCTGCAATGCGAAATATCTAACCCGTAAGCATTTAGGGAATGCCGAACGTAACCGTAACCTCAAGCCAAGCTTCAAACCTAAATCCAAACCACATCCCATGCATGGAAACCCTAATCCCAAGGATAGCCCAACTTACACCAATCCTAACCGTTGCCTGGACCCTGACCTTGAGCCCAAAACGGGTAACTTTGGTGTCAATAATGCTATTTAAGATCAAAATCCGCTTCCTGATAACCTCTTTCATGACCTACTACCAGACAAACCATCATGAAGAACACTTTAAAAAGTAAAACAGGAAGGTAGGATTTTGACCGAACACCCAGGGGGTTTACAGACCCGGTCCTTAACTTATCACCTTATTCAAAACAGGATTCCTTATATTTTCACTTATGCCTGATGTATTCTTTGAGTAAAATTCCCGTTCCACCAGCCCTTTCGCCTTCTCAACTTAACGCATTCGTTTTGCCATTCGTTTTGCCATATTTGGTCGTTCGATCAACCAATCATGGCGTACTTAACTCGCGGATTGGGAGGGCCAATTGTGTGCACGCCAAATTAATTTTTTTTTTCCCCGTGGGGAGACCGTAGTTAACTACAAACCTAAAGCCAATGATGGTCATGCCCGCAATGGGAAATATCTAACCCGTAAGCATTTCAAGAATGCTCGGACGCAACCGTAACGTTAAGCCAAGCTTAAAACCGAAACCTAAACCACATCGCAAACCTGTAAACCCTAATCCCAAAGATAACCCAACTAACACTTGTTCCAACCGTTGCCCGGACCCTAACCTTGAGATCAGAACGGGTAACTTTAGTGTCAAAAACGCTGTTTAAGATCAAAGTCCGCTTCCTGCATAACCCCTTTTGCGACCAACTGCCAGATAAGCCATCATGAAGCACACCTTAAAAAGTAAGACAAGAAGGTAGGATTTTGACCAATCACCCTGTCCTTAACTTACCCCCTTATTCAAAACAGGATTCCTTATATTTTCACCTATGCCTGATGGAATCTTTGAGTAAAACTCCCGTTCCACCTGGCCCTTCGCCCTCTCAACATACCGCATTCTTGTTTTGCCATATTTGGTCATCCGATCAACCAATCAGATGCGGACTTTACTGCTCTACTTTTCTCTGGCTGGTTTCGACCTTTTTATAACGATAATCCATTTCACACGGCCTCCATCATAGACCAAAGGACCTTAATATGGCGTGCTTAACTCGCGGATCGGGAACGCCAGGTGCGTGCATGGTAACTTAATCTTCCCTTCTCGGACCGAACAGTCAGTCAACATACCACGAATATTGTTTTCTACCCTACTCTGGACATCAAACATAAAAATAAGTGAGGACGGATTTCCATCTATGTTCCTCTGCGCTCATTCTTCCATGTGAGTACGTCGTAGAACTCGTCTTCCCCGACGCCTGATTGGCTGAACAGTAGTGAGTAAAATGCCAATTTGATATTTGGCAGGATCTTTGCCATAAAGTTCGAACTGATATGTTAGTTTAAAGTCTCCATTTGCATTTAAGGAAACCGCAAGACCAGTAAAAACTTGCAAGCAGACGGGCTTGAAATGCTGACTTTTTAATTCGTCAGCTCTTCCACCACTCCCACCAAATGGGTTCATTTAAGTTTAATGACTGTCGTACTGGGACCGGATAACAAACTTCTTGCGCGCTTAGCATAGTCTGTGATTTTGTGTCGCAATAATTCCTGCCGCAGACAAGCCCAGATGGGCGCCCTGCTTGTTAAATTACGGACAACTCCAAGGGCCTGATGTCCAATCGATAGACGTGGTAATCTTCTACGAGCTAGACGTTTGCGATGTAAGCCAATCAGACCAATCGTCAGGACAAAATGAGCGTGCCCTGCGTGTGTGAAGGCAGGAAATATCGATTATTTCATGTGACTGGCATTCGCAGTTGAGGTAGCTCGAAATCAAAACGCCGATGGGGGGCAAACCTACAGTGCGTGACCGATCCCATGAAATGTTGGCCGAAATTCTGCCTTGCGTTTTCGACTAGGAAGGACTAATAACGTAGCGTTGTAATGTTTATCCTCTTGTGGCATAGTCTTATAATATTTAAGACTCTCCAGGTTGTCGGCTTTTGAATGCACCTCTTTCCGACTCCCTGCAGAAACGACGTTCGGTAGAAAATGACGACATAATTAGCATATATTTTTCACATTTATATTTCACAGAAAACATGCAAGGAAATATGCTTTATTTTACTCGTTTGGTAGAAAATCACATTGTGTTCAAATTTTGTACCTGAAGAAAGTGTATATTCAGGTTTCGAAAAAGTTTCCCAATTCCCGAATAATTTGAGCCTGATCAGCCGTTGCATTAGCACTTAGCGATTTTAGTTTACAAGGTGTGTGTTTTCCGCGTAAGAAGAATCATACATTCCTCTACGTCTTTGAGAAGTCGTCATACAGACTTTATAAAATTGTGCAATGGATGCGGGCCACGTAGTTCCTTTCGTGAGGAGCATTATTAAACTGTCATGTGCGATGCTGTATATATGGACATCTCACGGTCTTAAAAATCTCATAATTAGAAATTTATTTAAAACCAAAAGATAACCTTTCTTAGGTTATAAAGTGGAACAGAATGTGATTTTATACCAAACGAGTAGAAGAAAGCATATTTATTGCATGTTTTCTGTAAAATATATTTGGATTTATAAGACCATAAAAATCACTGCGAAAAATGCATGCTAAGTAAAGTAGTCTTTTTCTGCCGAACGTCGTTTTTGCAGGGGGTCGGAAAGAGGTGCATTCAAAAGCCGACATCTTGACGAGTCTGAAATATTATAAGACTATGCCACAAGATTATTAATATTACAACGCCGCGTTATTAATCCTTCCTAATCGAAAACGCATTTCAGAATTTCGGCCAACACTTCATGAGATTGGCCACGCACTGTAAGTCTAATGACTGTCGTACTGGGACCCGATAACAAACCTCTTGCGCGTTTGGCATAGTCTGTGGTTTTGTGTCGCAATAATTCCTGCTACAGACACGCCCAGATAGGCGTCCCCCCTTATTAAATTACGGACAACTCCAAGGGGCCTGATGTCTAATCGATAGACGTGGCAATCTTCTACGACCTAGAGGTTTGCCATGTAAGACAATCAGACCAGTCGTCAGGACAAACTGAGCGTGCCCTGATAGTGTGAGGGCAGGGAATATCGATTATTTCATGTGACTGACAGTCGAAGCTGAGGTAGCTCGAAATCAAAACGCCGATGGGGGGCAAACCTTGTTAAGTGCATTTTTGAGCTCCTACAAAGACCAGAACCGACTGTACAGGTACGCTAATTTGAAATTGTAAAAGGAAGTGAACATCGTAAACCATCGTCTAACTACCAAGCAACACCTAACCCGAAGCAGGGTGAATATTAACTCCAGTTATGTTAGCTTCTGCGTTTAACGCCTCCCGGTCCGATTTAATTGACTTTTGCTATCTCTCGCTCTCAACGTACTAAGGGATGCGTAATTCAAATAAAGCGACAACAGCCGACAACGATAGGATGTAGGACTCCCAAATAACTTGAGCTAGCCTGTGGACCGTGGCTTGTGTTGAATGGTGGTACAGGGAATTTTACGGATGGGGCAACCCACAGGACGGAGGGCGAAAAGACACGGAAAATAGAGAAACTTACGCCGAAAGTCTTATCGTGCGCTGTAATTTGGTAAGGAAAGTGGACACGATAATTAAAAAATATACAGAAGGCAATTTTCAAAAAAATAAAGGACTTTGAATAAAGCGCCGCTGGTAAGTTTGCATTTACTCAGAAAGAGAAGGAAATTTCAAACAGTGGGAACGGTGAATATTAAGTGATGTTTACGGTCACACTGAATTTTAGGGTATATTGTGGAAGTTGCCATCTAATTGGGGGTCCTACACCCTATCGTTACCTAATAGACATTGCACTCCCCATTTTTCAACTTAATTGAGTGCCACTTGCCGATTGGACTTTCCAGTCGTCATGACTTCTATTTAAGTAGAGGAAGAAGGATTCCC